CCCTTCTTTAGCCACATCTCCGCACTGTCCATGCATATTTGTGTCCTCCTACTGGCATCTTTCACTTGTAAGGGACTCTCTCGCTGTCCTCTTGCTGCCGCATTTCCTGCTCCTAGAGAAAGAAGTTTCATATTTTGTACAGGTTGAATGTTTAACACCTACAGGCATTGAGATGCAGCCTGCGTCCTGGTCTTAGAGAAGCAGTTGAAGATCTGCGAACAAGGGCCAATGCCTTATTACTTTCTTTGAGATTTCCTGTAACTTCAATATTTGCCAGATACTAAAGGCCCCTAAACGTGAATTCTGGAGCAATTTTTAGTGGATATAAGTGCTCTATGGTTTGTGAAAATGTATTGCCGACCTGAGTGAGTCATCGGATAGGGGAGGAAATAATAACGATTTCTGTAAGAAGAGAACTTATCCTTGCAACAAAATTGTCACCATCTCCTAAGTGCTTTCTATGCTCCGTGTGTGCTGCAGAACCCTGAGGTACATGTTCATTCACAGTATTTAAAATTTATTTTATTTTAATTTTGAGAGAGGAAGGGAGAGGGAGAGAGAGAAACAGGGATGTGAGAGAGAAACATCGATCAGCTGCCTCCTGCTGGTCCCCTGTTGGGGATCGAGTCCACAACCTGGGCATGTGCCCTGACCGGGAATCGAACGGGTGGCCTCTGGGTGCACAGGACGATGCCCGATCAACTGAGGCAAATATGTGTTCATCTAATTCTCACACCAAACCTATCGAGTTGAATGCAGAGGTTCTTTTTTAACAGATGCTAAAACTAATTTGATCTCATTGTAAAAGCCAAGGATACTTCCATAAAATGTTCTTCAGTTTGTACCTTTCAGAGAGGACCAATGAGAAATAAGAACAGAAATGAAGGGTGAAATGATAGAACACATTTTTCCTACTACGATGTGGTTTATTTTGCAGGAAAGTGTGGAAAAAGTTAATTGCTGTTGCCTGCTGAATTTTTTGTTTTAAAAATAATTTTAATTTGTCCTGTTCGATAACAATATTTGGAAACTATAGTTAAGGCAAAGGGGAAAATTAGAAATCTAATTTCTAATCACGCTATTAAAAATGAGCACTATTGAAATTTGGATGCATCACCTTTAAAATATTATGATTACTAGGATATAATTTGGTAAAATTTATTTTATTTCCAAGGCTAAATCTAGTGAAATAAATATTTGTTTGAAATTGTGTCTTTCAGATTATGATGTGCCAACTGCAGGTGAGTGGCTCAAAACTTTTTTATTACAGTTTCTTTTTATATTTTGCAATCAAATGTGAAGTTGTTGAACATTATATATTTTTTCCTGTAAGAAATCGTATTTTTCATGAAAAATTGCTACTTTATGTCCTTGAACATGAAAAAAGTACATTCTATGTTAAAAATCATCAAGGAAAGGGAAGAGAGCAATCAATTTTACTGTTAATATTTTCTTGTGATCAAATATTTCATTAAAAATGAGCACTATTGAAATTTGGATACCTCACCTTTAAAATATTATTATTACTAGGATATAATTTGGTAAAATGTATTTTATTTCCAAGGCTAAATCTAGTGAAGTAAATATTTGTTTAAAATTGTGTCTTTCAGTTTATGATATGGCAACTGCAGGTGAGTGGCTCAAAACTCTTTTATTACAGTTTCTTATTTATTTATTTATTTATTTTTAAAATATTTATGGTTCAGATTATTACAGTTGTTCCTCCTTTTTCCCCCCATAGCTCCCCTCCACCCAGTTCCCACCCCACCCTCTGCCCTTAAGCCCCCCCACTGTCCTCATCCATAGGTGTACAATTTTTGTCCAGTCTCTGCCCGCACCTCCACACCCCTTTCCCTCCCCCGATAATTGTCAGTCCACTCCCTTTCTATGTCCCTGATTCTATTATAATCACCAGTTTATTCTGTTCATTAGATTTTTTATTCACTTGATTTTCAGATTCACTTGTTGATAGATATGTATTTGTTGTTCATAATTTGTATCTTTACCTTCTTCTTCTTCTTCCTCTTCTTAAAGGATACCTTTCAGCATTTCGTATAATACTGGTTTGGTGGTGATGAACTCCTTTAGCTTTTTCTTATCAGTGAAGCTCTTTATCTGACCTTCAATTCTGAATGATGGCTTTGCTGGATAAAGTAATCTTGGTTGTAGGTTCTTGCTATTCATCACTTTGAATATTTCTTGCCACTCCTTTCTGGCCTGCATAGTTTCTGTTGAGAAATCAGCTGACAGTCGTATGGGTACTCCCTTGTAGGTAACTGACTTTCTTTCTCTTGCTGCTTTTAAGATTCTCTCTTTGTCTTTTGCTCTTGGCATTTTAATGATGATGTGTCTTGGTGTGGTCCTCTTTGGATTCCTTTTGTTTGGGGTTCTCTGCACTTCCTAGACTTGTAAGTTTATTTCTTTCACCAGGTAGGGGAAGTTTTCTGTCATGATTTCTTCAAATAGGTTTTCAATATCTTGCTCTCTCTCATCTTCTGGCACCCCTATAATTTGGATGTTGGTGCGCTTGAAGTTGTCCCAGAGGCTCCTTACACTATCTTCATATTTTTGGATTCTTTTTTCTTTTTGCTTTTCCAGTTGGGTGTTTTTTGCTTCTTCATATTTCTAATCTTTGACTTGATTCTTGGGATCCTCTTGTCTGCTGTTGGATCTCTGTATATTATTCTTTATTTCAGTCAGTGTATGCTTAATTTCTAGTTGGTCCTTTTTCATATCCTCGATGGTCTCACTAAATTTATCGACGGTTTCTAGAAAATTCTTGAAAAACCTTATAACTGTGGTTTTGAACTCTATATCCAGTAGTTTGCTTTCCTCCATTTCTGTCATTTGTGACCTGTTTCTTTGTCGCCGCATTTTTTATGCTTCCCTGTGTTGATAGAGTGGTTTTGTGTGCTAGGTGTCCTATAGGGCCCAGTGGCTCAGCTTCCCCAATTACCTGAGGTGGAAACTCTTGGTGCACCCCTTTGTGGGCTTTGTGCACAGTCTTATTGTAGTTAAGCCTTGATTGTTGTTGGTATCACTGGGAGGAATTGACCTCCAGGCCAATTGGCTGTGAGAATCAGCTGTGTCTACAGTGGGAGAACTTCTGTGCTGGAGACACCCTTATGGGGCAAGACTTGCTTCAGTGGGGCTTTGGTGCTCACTGAGTCTGCCCCCTGAGTGTGTCCCTTATGGATCTGAGGAGTTGTAATCTGGATGGTCCCACTCTGACCACTAGGTACACAGGCTCTTGGATCTCTAAGGAGGTGCTAATTTAGCCTCTGCCTGAGGCTACCCAGCAGGAGCTACGGAGAGATCTGCAGATTCCTCTTCCTTATTTGGGGTTTGGAGGTGCCCAGATGAGGCCCAGCTGTGAAGCAATGCAAGCTGCTGTGGGGCCTTGGGACTTCTTTTGGATGTTCTGGTTCTCTCTGACCCAGCTGCAGTTTGTTAGGTAATTTTAGATCTCAAAGGGCCAGCCCATTCATATGCAAAAGCCTCTGCTAGCAGCTTGGGTGGGGCAGGGTCTCAGGGAATCAACAGGTTGGAGCAAACAGCTATGGCTGATCCTCAGCCCAGCCCTAAGAGGCCCCGGGTCTCAGTGAATCGTCTCAGTGTCCCGCAGTAATCGCTACAAGCACCTAAGAGAAAGCCGCCCTCGAGTTCTGCCCGCTGCCAGACAGTCCAGTTTCTCCTGTATTAGTCTGGGTCCCCAGAAACTCACCCGGAACTGGAGTTCAGAGCAGTCGGAAGCTTGAGACTCACTCCCGATTGAAAAAGACACCGGCGTCCTCTGTTGCCAGCCCTCTCCGCGGGCACGCGCTTCCTTACCTCTGCACTTTACTTCCGCACCTCCTCTGAGTCTCAGTGTGCTTTTCTCTTTCCTTCTAGTTGTAGAATTTCTGCTCAGCCAGCCTTCCTGTGGTTCTGGATGATGTCCGTTTTGTCTTTTAGTTGTATTTTTGAAGTGGTTGTGCGAGGCAGCAATTTCAGGTGTTTACCTATGCCGCCATCTTGGTTTCTCGACCTACAGTTTCTTTTTATATTTCCCAATAAAACGTGAAGTTGTTGAACATTATATATTTTTTTCCTGTAAGAAATCATATTCTTTATGCAAAACTGCTACTTTATGTCCTTGAACATAAAAAAAGTACATTCTATGTTAAAAATCATTAAGGAAAAGGAAGAGAGCAATCAATTTTACTGGTAATATTTTCACGCGATCAAATATTTCATTATATACAACCTTATAACGTGACTTTCGTTTTGCAGAACTAGTCTTATAGAACATAACGAAATAGGAGATGCCTTTTGTCACCTACAGATGAAGTCCAAGATTTTCCATGCCTATGTTCTTTCTCCTCTTTGCCCGTACGACGTTATAAAGCCATATTTTACTTTAAAATTCCCGTAGTGATGAACATTTTTGGATTGATTTCTGTTTTTTGTGCTATTATTAGCCATGCTAAAATGGACATTCTTAACCTGAATGTCATTCCAACCAAAACCAGGGAAGTACAGAGGTCAGGGGTGTCTACTTTGACCAGTGCTCATTCACATTATCGGGGGAGGGGGTGTTCTAACGTAGGTGATACTGCAACAAGGAAATAGCCTGTAAGCCTACAGAAAATTATGGGCAGCATTGTTTTATGATTGTAGACTTAAAAGTCCCTAGGAACATTGGGAAAGATGACGAGTTTCAACAGAAGAATCTGGCTATGTGGCTGGATATAAGACAAACATACACAGTCAATAGATTTTCTCCTTGCTGGTAAGAACTTACTACACTTGGATGAAAAAGGAAGCACCCTGCTTTACATCCATGGTGAAAACCGCCGTGGAGTGAAATCGGCTAGCAACGTGCAGGACTTAGGGGAAGTCAATGATAGCATCATCCTGAAGAACAGAAAGCGATTCTAAAAGACAGACTCTCACGCCGTGTTCTTGGTTGGAAGACATAACAGGGAAATAAACATCAGCTTCAAATTTTTATTTTTCAGAAACGATGCCTTACTTTCCAGAAATAAAAGGTAAGTTGACCGTAAAACGTTTACTATGGCCCTGGCTGGTGTGGGTCAGTGGTTAGAGCGCTGGCCTGCCCACTGAAGGGTCACTGGTTCCAGATGTTTCTCTGTCTCTCCCCTTCTCTCTCCCCTTTTCACTCTCTCTTAAATATAAATATATCTATATCTATATCTATATCTATATCTATATCTATATCTATATCTATCTATATATACATATATATATTTAAATTAAAAAAATATCCTCAGGTGCGGATTAACAAGAACAACAAATTCCTTTTTCTCCTTTCATAAAATGTGATATAAGTACCTGTAAACAGATTTAAAAATCATGAACAAAAGTAGTACCGGAGGAGAAGCACCTGTGTTATCAGATATTTAAATGAGCCATAAACATAGTGCTCATCCCGGCCTGCTGTGCTTGCCGCTGCCGATTGGTGGCACTGCCATGGAGCTGTGAGCCTGGCTTCTGGCTGAGAGGCGCTCCCCCTGTGGGAGCACACTGACCATCAGGGGGCAGCTCCTGCATTGAGCATCCGTCCCCTGGTGGTCAGTGCAAGTCATCGCAACTGGCCGACCGGTCGTTCTGGTCATTCTGGTCATGTGGTCGTAACGGTTGCTTAGGCTTTTATATATACAGAGAGAGATGGGTAGATTCAGACATCCATATGGGCCTGGAAAAAGTGTGGAAAGATACAAGCCAGCCTATCTACATCCTGTGTGTCTGTGTGCACGTGTGTGTGCACATGGGTGTGTGTGAAGACGGAAGAGGGTGAAGAAAAGAGGCAGAAGGGAAATCGTTTAATAGATAAATGGCCACACGTATGTTTCTAAGCTTAGGGTCGGTTTCTGGAATGGGGGCCGGATGCTGAGCCAAATGTCAAGGCCGTTCATGCGATGGGAACAGTGGGACAGGGGTGCGTGTCTCAAGCTAACCCTTCATGGGGAGAGAGGCCCGGAAGCCCCGCTTCTGGGGGTGGATAAGCTCCAGCAGAATGAAGGCGGGGATCCGGGCCGGGCGGAACCACCCTTCGGAGAAGAGGGGAGTGGCAGCACCTCAACCCGCCGCCCAGAGATGGAGGCAGTGTGTTCGTTTTCTCTAGATGGCAAGTGTTTCTTTCCGTTCCGCTATAAGGACAGCCTGTTCTACGACTGTGTCAAGTTCAAGGCCAAGCACAAGTGGTGCTCCTTGACGGAGAACTTTGAAGGCTACTGGAAGTACTGCTCCGAGAATGGTGAGTGCCTCGGAGGACCTCAGGGGGCATCTTGGGCCCAGCGCGGAGCTTCTCTGAGATCCTCATACGGTTCTACACATGGGACGCACAGTCCTAGTAGCCACTTGGCTCAGTGGTGGGAGCGCTGACCTGTGGACTGAAGGGTTGCGGGTTCGACTCCAGTGAAGGGCATGTACTTGGGTTGTAGGTTCGATGCCCAGCCCTGGTTGGGGGACATCTGCGGGAGGCAACCAACTGATGGTTGCTCTCACATCGATGTTTCTCTCTCTCTCTCTCTCTCTCTCTCTCTCTCTCTCTCTCTCTCTCTCCTTTCCCCTTCCCTTCCACATTTCCTAAAAACCATTGGGAAAATATCCTTGGGTGAGGATTAACAAAACAAAATAAAACAAATGGAACGCGCAGGCCATTACGTTGTGAAAATAAGTTGTGTGCAGGTCTCTGGTGGTACGAAAACCACAGGGCACCAAAGACAGGCGAGTGCTTCAAGCGCATGCAGATACATCTGTCGGTTGCAGGACGCCCGCCCGCCTCCAATGCTGCTGCCGTGTGCGTTGGGTGGAATAGAGCCAGAGTGGAAAAGTGCGCGCGCTCTCGTGCTCCTGCGCGCGTGCGCGGGTGTGCGAGCGTGTTAGGATGAAGAGGAGGCACCGGATAGGAAGGTTTCTTATTCCCATGGCTTCTTTCTTCTCTGCAGACTTCGCAAAATGCGTGTTTCCCTTCTGGTTCAGACGCACCATCTACTGGGGATGTACGGACGACTCGGAAGCATTTGGGAAAAGATGGTGCTCACTGACCCAGAATTTCAACATACAGAAGGTCTGGAGGTATTGCGATGACATGTACTTGCCTCAACCCTGAAGGGGCGCACGGAACCTCAGGGGAGCGAGCCCACAGTGTTTGCTGGGGAGGGGAGGGGATCCGGTCTGCGAGGAACATGGGGTTTTGATTCTGGTGGTGGGCTTTTGTATGGAGACCTGTATCCTAACCTCAGCGCTTTTCCCTGCTAACTGTGTCCCATGAGGCCTAGTGCATGGACTGGGGGTGATAGTGAGGTGTGAAGGTCATGGGCGGTCACACATGCCCCAGCCTGGGGGTGGGGGTGGGGTGGGGGAGTGTTGATCCTGGGGAAGGTGTGCTTATGTGTGGGGTCAGGGAGTCCGTGAGAACTCGGCTCAATGTTGTTGTGAATCTAAAACTGCTCCCCCAAATAAAGGCCATTATGAAACGCATCCCCCGAATTAAGAATTCTTTTTTGTAAAAATATATTTTTATTGATTTCAGAGAGGAAGGGAGAGGGAGAGAGAGAGAATCATGGATCGGCTGCCTCCTGCACACCCCCTTCCGGCGATCGAGTCCGCAACCCGGGTATGTGCCCTTGACCGGAATTGAACCCGGGACCCTTCAGTCCGCAGGCTGATGCTCCAGCCACTGAGCCAAAGCAGCTGGGGCACGACTTCTTTTTGAAACAGAACAAAATGATAACCGAGTGTGACCTGAGGTGGGAACACGCGTTACCCTGTGCAGTGTTAGCGGAGGGTGAAGCAGCTCAGATGCAAACCACGTGCGCCGGGCAACGAGGCCGAAGGGAGCCGGTTACAGCAGCCCATTACCTGGTGGGAGGTCCCCGTTTCCAGGAAATCAGCAAGCTTTATGTCTCCACCATTACAGCTTATGGAACAACAAGAACAGATGATATGCTACGTGCATTATGACCAAGCTCCATAACAACCCCTTGAGGTGAACATGGGCACCATTTTCAGAAACGATGAGTCAGGTGCATTAACTAATTTTCAAAGAGGTACATGGCTATAGGGCTGTTACAG